CGGGTCTGAAATATCATAGGATTATGCTTCATGCTAATCAATATTAGAACCCCACCGAAGTAATCCTTCCTAATTGACAACGCATTTCAGCCAACATTCCATGAAGCCAGATATCCGAAGAATTCACCTCGGTTCAGAAGTAACTAGGTAGGAGAAAACCCATTTACTTGTGTGCAAAAAACGTAATTCTAGACTTTGGACCCTTACAGGGCTAAAGTTAAGTTTTTTTCCTAGGAAAGCATCCATCTCGGATCTGGGTTACTTTAGGGTAAGGTGATACCATGCTAACAGCACAGGTACTAGCCAAAAGCCCATACACGCGTGTTTCGCCGATGTTCTGCCGCTGCATGGCGCAGCTGCGAGGGGTTCGGCTCGTCAGTGGGTCCCCAGCATTCCCCGTCTGTTTTCTGGTAGGTACTCCAGTTAAGGAATTGTAGCTTATTACTACGAGCTCGGAGTTGATCAGTTTGCTCAAGGTCTATATACACGGACTGAGAATTTTATGTGTGAATATTTGGGCCCAAGTCCATTAGTCACGGCGGATAACCGCGTAATATTCAGCAACTGCCTAGAGGCAGTTAGTAGTATACTGTAGGATAAGGTGATTCCATACTAACAGCACTCTGCGCGGATAGATCTCAGCCTATAGACCTTAAATATACTGATGTACTCCAAGTTCGCAATTAATTTCTAAGGAAATTATAAAGCTACAAATCTTATACTTTTAATGTGGTAGCTCGACCCTCATAAAGACGAGACGCATGACTGTGTCTACTAGGGTGCAATGATAAACTGTTCATTAATTTCTTGATAAGTAAGCAAACTTTCGGTCGTCTGCTTTGTTTGCTAGTCCTACACCTGCGGTGATTACTGCTGGCATCTGCTGTAACACTGAGTCTCTGTCTGGCGCGTGATTGCACCAACGTGCCAATGAATAAACTGATCTACTCTAAATTCGTAGATAATTTCTGAGGAAATTAAAAAGCGACAGGATCTAGGTTAGAAACAAACATCTCGTCGCATTCGAAATTGAAGAGGAACGAAACAGCAAATCTGGTCACCTGTCAAAGCTGTATAAAAACCATCGGTAAACGTTGTCCTGTAAGAAACATATAACCAGTTTCTCCATTCACCAGCATCACGACGTACTTTTCTCTAACGCCTATCAAACATTCAGCTACAGAACGACTCTAGCAGTTTTTTTTTATATAAAACAAGTTCATGAATAGGCTTTAATTTATCCAGATTTTCAAACCTGCTGATTACTTATAACTGGCCGGCGTTAACTACCATTTCTGGGTTCACATAGGTAGACAGCGTTCGGTAGATCTGAACAGATAACTGATACCGCGTTCACCTAATACATAAACACAGGACCGCTTATGAGGTCAAATTAAGTTTGCTAACATGCAGTAAAACCGCACTATTTGAGGGGAGTCGTGCTCACGACCACAGCTACAAATTGTCCAGTAGCAACAGGAATATTTCCAGCGGGGTGAGAAAGTCGAGTTTCAAAATATCCTGAAGAATTTTCGTTAGCCATGCCAATTACGGAAATGAAAATTCGAAAAAACAATGCCCACGCTTTATACGCGATCAGTGGTAACCGTGGATCGTATCAAACCCCCGAGTCATTACGGCGACTAACTTTAATCTTTTTTGTCCACTTTTACCTCCTCAGCTATAATTATACGAACGGATCGGAAAGCCTATGTCGTCAGCCAATTGGCATGATAGTTAATGCTTGTATCTCGGGGTCAGAGCGTGTGATGCGGGCCACAAACGCTGACGTTGGCGTTACTGCTCATAAACAGTCGCCACAGTATGCCACATCTACGAAATATACCACCCGATCGTATTTAAATGTACAACGATATGTGGCAGCCTTTTAACGCAGCCTATGGAATGGCTTTAGAACTCGAGATTATCCTCTGACAGTTGTCTTTATAAAGTTGCGAATATTCCTATGGGTGAATTCAGAAGAGCATTTGGCGACCGTACGCGTGTGTTCGACCAATTCCCATCGGGATAGTACATTTATACGGGGACGAGGTACAAAGGAAAACGTGTGAGCGATAAGGGAAATCGAAATTGTCTTTGTAGCAAAAGGTATATACTAGGGAGTAGATCCAGTAGCGACCCGAGAGGGATTTGACTGAAAGGAAAAAATACAGAGGGCTACTCAACGGCCACAAATCACAATATGACGCAAAGGACCTGCGTTTTTGGGAGGCGGGTGTCCAAAGTTAGTTGTTCTTATGTTTCCCGTTATATGTAATAACACACTAGGACGCACGATATAGTTGTCCTGATTCCAGTGTCTATTCCTCTTTTCAGTAGTGTCAGTCATTTTACTAATCCATAACTATAAACATCCAATGGAAACCTTACCTAAACAGGTTCAGCCATTACCTAAACAATGATTGATTTTGAGATATGAACATAAACGACCGTATTTCAAAAAATGCAATTATTATAGTTGCGGGTTCAGTAAAACGCGTATTATGAAGGAATGTCGACCTGACAGTTCGATTGTCGTTTCCGACGATGTCAACAGTGTGCTCCACAGCAAGCTAAAACAGGTACGGCGACTTGCGCAGCATCTACCGCACTCATCCTCTCCCACCTGGACACGGTGTCAAGACAGGGTAAGAAGACCGGAGGCGGGAAATGGCGCAGGTGGGTGGCACGGTCGAGTTCGCACCTTGGCTCTCCTCTCCACACCTCCTGGCCCACACAGCAAATGACCAGGATTTTAACCAACAACAAAAAGGGGCTGGGCCTAAGAGGTATGTTCGCTTTGTGTACCTTCGGCAGACCATGAAACCGCGCGGTGACAGAGTCAGAGGGTTTCATAAGAAACCAATCTCTAGCTGTGATTGCCTCATTTGCTCTGAGTTTTGCTTTTGTTTATTTGAGTAAGCAGATTTTTCACCTCTTTGGCTGGACAAAGTTTATAGGACTGTGGACCGTCGAGTAGGCCCAAACCTTTCCCTGGTGATCAGATTTATCAGGCAGACCTCTTTCGAACGAATGGATACCCAAGCTAATTCATCAAGCAAAGCAAGCGCCGGGTGAACAGACGACGGCCACAAGAAGAACAACCCGAAGTCTGAAGGGCTATTCCTTACACTAAAGGAGTCTCCGAGGCGGTTTTACGACTGCTACAACCCGCCAGAGTAGGCATTGCCCATCGACCCCAGGCAACAATTCGTCGCCGTTTGATGCAACACAAAGATATACTGCCACCCACTGAGACCTCAGCAGTTGTCTATCAAATACGTCGTAACGATGGAGACTGCAACTACGTTGAGGAAGCCGGACGTAAATGGCAGACCCGCCTGCATGAGCACAAACTGGCAACTCGGAGACTAGACCCAAACTCACAGCTTGTGGCTCACATCAGATGCCAACTCCATCAACAGGCCTCTAGACTTCCCTTCGGCCTATAAAGTCCTACGCCACTACATACGCCGTGACGAAGACAAGACAGTCCTACGGAACCTAAGACTACCGAGCGAATACGGCCTGTCGACCAATTCACCCAAAGAGGGGACGCAAACGCAACTAACCCCAATTGAGGTGACGACACACAATGCAGGAGGCCACCAACACTCACAAACGACGGCCAGCAGGCCAAGGAAGCGAAAGAAAAAGAAAATCGATCAGCCCAATACCAACTACTCCGGCTGTCTATTTAAAATTCTGATCAACTTTTGCACTAGAAGCTTTGATAATGGAAAGCAGCCCAAGCTCCTCGAAACGTCAGCCAAACAAGTCCTCGATCCGGTGAGCACTTCCTTTTTCTCATATTATCGAGCCGGATCTTTAACTTTTGCTAATCTGAATGGTTAAAATGCACTAGAGAGCTATGGCCAGAAGTAAGTCTATTTATAAAATGAGCATGTGTGCTGAACTGCAGTAGGTACGATTAGTAATGTGGAATTTGAGTCGTTGCAACTACTCTGCGTTATTTTCTTAATGGCTCCGTGTGATATAGTAGACAACGCAAAAAATCAACTGTTGTGGTTTATTTTACGTTCATTTTAATATCCATTTAGTTTTGTCTTTGGAACTCGAACATTACTTAGCTTATGTTTACCCCAGTGACTGCCTTAAATCCTCCTCATTAGGTAGTCATTTTGTGTTTGAAATCGACAGCTGACTCACATTTTTCCATTCCAACAGATTGTACGATAAAATCTTTATTTTGTCTATTGATTGTAGTTTTAAATCGGTGGTAACGCTGAAATCGGACAAATTGCTTAACTAACACTTGAATATAATGGTCATGGTTAAAAGGAATCCTACAGAATTCGATAACATATTTTTTCCTTTCTTGTCCGGAGGCCTTCAACGTGACACTTCAAAAACCAATTCATTTAACGTTGCCGATACTAGGGAACGGACTCCTCCGATTTTTCGAATTACAGGACCGAAGTTAAACGTTTGTTTACCGTGAAGTTATGGCTTGATTACGAATCTCCGAAAATGACTAGCAAATTCGAGAGGAATTCTTCCCTTCCCATGCTTTGCTGTATAAATTCTTGATTATCTTGAGCAATTCTAAGCCAACAAACTACTAAACTGGCTGAACTTCAACGGGAATTAGTTTTAAACCTCAGAGTTAAATTGATATTTTGAGAACAGTAAATAATTCCTGATGTCTACACGAACGAATGACAAGAAAGGACAATCAAAACTCTAAACAATTTCGATTCCTGAAGTTTTATTTTTTTTACATAGAACAATATGAATGTCTTTAGAATACAAGGAAATATGCTCATACAATATCGAGTGAATTTGAGACGTCAACAGCAATGGCAACCTTTTATTCAAATAATGTTCTCCGTTACAAGTCAAATTAGTCTTTATTAGGATGATATGACTGCAGATCTATAGGAGTGATCACAGGTACAAGTAGATGGTCCAAATGCTTTTTGAAGCTCTTTTCCTGTCAAAATAATAGAATCGACTGAAAAATATCCCTTACCGTCAGTCTATAATAGTGAACAGACCCGACGTTGTCTCCATTCAAGTTGGTTGTATTCCTTCTCCAACGTAGTGTCCTGTTGTCCTGCAGTCTCAATAAGGGACTCGTTAAAGGTTGTATTTCCGGCACCGGTATTGCTAACAGATTTGTTTTCAAATTCACTGGGTGTTGATTTTTCCTGACCAGATACAACTAAATTGCTGAGCCTTCGTAGTCTAAAGTGCATGTAAAAGTTATTCTGTGATTTTTGGTCAAAATAGTTTTTGTGGCTTACTAGGACTAAGTCCTTCGCTTTTGCGACTCCAAGTACAAGAGATTGGAGAAATCAACCTCGCTGTGGTGCATGAGCTAAAACAATGTTCTTAGAGTAAACTTCTAAAGGACGGTTTCTTTGCTCAGGGAGATGTTTATCACCGGCCGTCCCCTGGAAAGCACGTTTCCTTTTGCTATTATCTCTCAGGTGGTCGTTTACGGAAAGTATTTCTGCAGGAGAGCAATATTTGAAGGATGACCTATAAATAATGCCGATTTTAAATACTCTGGATGGCCATAAAAAGGACCCATCTAAATTATGAGAAACTGCATCGGGTTTGACGGTCAACATCAAAGTAGTTTGACAGAATAATACACATGTCCGCTAGGAAGCATTCCCCCTGCTGTTCAATTTTTCTTCTATAGACGGTAACTGGTCCGTGAACGTGGGGTTTCGGGCAGTCTTTTCCCCCGAACAGCCTTAACTCTACTGCAATCGTTACGGTAAACCAAGTTATCGAACGCGGATAAGGTAGCCCAAAAGAGATCTTTTCAGCTTAGAAAAATTATAATAGGAGCTGAGTACTTTCAGTTCACAAACATTTTTGGCAACCTCGACGCTTACGCAGTTTATCTGACTTCCTGGTGTTTAACACAGGGGTAGCTATCCGTACATTCGTTCTCTTCTTTATTTCTACTCCACATTATTTCCTTTCATCCTCAATGCTTCGTCTTGAAACATAAAAATTTGACTTTATGTTTTTACCTGTGATATGTATTTTTTATGAATCGTTTTTTCCTTTAGGCGACTTCCATTTTTTCATTTATTATATGTAAAAATTTTAAAACCATTCTGTTTCCTCTATTTATATCCTGTTATTTATTTTGTGCTCCAATTTAAGGTCTCAGTCTGCAAACGGTTTTGCAGCTATACCGACCTTCTTTTGGCTATTGCGTGGGCTATTAATTTTAACACGTACGCCATAGATACTAAGAATAGCAGACAATTTTTACTTAATTCTTTTTATTCGGCACTGTCTGATACCAAAACCATGATGAGTGATAAATCGCATTGTCACGTATAATAGTGTCTCGCTATTCCACTCTATACATAAAAAACACCAGCGAGTAAACAACAGTCAGGATTAATTTTTTGAGTTTTGCAAATTAAATCTTTAAGCTTTCTCCGCCTTAAACCGTTGTAAAAAGTGAAAATTTTCAAAAAATCCTCTGTAAGTAAATAGTCTCCAAATATTTAAACACTTCCTTTACGTAAGAATTCGTTTTGCCTTTAAGTAAGAGTGGCATGTAAAAAGCACATATTCTCTTTCCTTAATTTCTAAGAGAATTATAAGTTCACGCATTCGTCCTTTTGGCGACAGATATTTAAAAATGAGCAAAATCAATTTACGCAAGGAGAAAGTGCTAAGTCAATGTGGGTGGTTTACTAAATTTAAAGCGGGGAGCGTGGTTTCATAAAACCTTTGTTCGCAGATCTAAAAAAGTTTATTAGGATCGTCTGGAAAATATGAAATCGTAATCCGTAGAGAAAAGATAACTAGGGGAAAGTATTGCGTGGCGTATAGAATTCTGACATCGGCTTATTAATGTTGCAGAAAAATACCTTCACACTGCGCGTGCCGAGCCGACTATCTAGAAGACTGCATTTTTTGGTTGAATCTTACCTATGAAGCCTATGAAGAAGAATGCGATAGGCTCCAGTGATGGAACTTCGGGCTTCTAGACATCGTGCAACATCCATCTGCTCTGGTGAAATCCCCATATGTAGAAGCAGACGAGCAGCCTCAGCCTCTGAATGATATACGATTGCGTCTGGCAGTAGGCTACTTCTCGCACTGACGTCACTTGCTTGCCCGTCCTCAAAAATATCATTGCGACTGGGCACCGACAGCCGGTTTGTAGTTTTGCCAACAGCCTCGATATCGGCAGACGGACTTTTGGTGTCCAGGATTGATAGTGACAAATGTGAGGCGTTATCGCTTCTTCTGGTCGGCATGGGATAGCGGCCTGGGGGCCTTTGAAAATCGCACTGGAATGAGAAGACAGAATTTGCATGTTTATGCTATGGACATCCAGTGATACTTAGCGGACATTAAAAAGTATGCTTTAAGTCAGACGCGGGGCTTAGAGTGCATTGGCAAGACCGAAAAAATGAGTAATAATCAAATTGCAACTTTCGAATAAGGAGTCACTTTGAAGCAAGTGTGAAAATGCTATTTATCATTGTACGGCTTATTGCATCCAAAAATCTACAGTGCGTGACCTGTCTCATGAAATGTTGGCTGAAATTCTGAAATGCGTTTTCGATTAGGACGGATTACTTGGCCGCGGTTGTGATACTGATTATCTTAAGGCATACTCTTATAACATTTCGGATTCGGCAGGATGTCGGCTCTTAAATGCACTTCTTTGCAATCTCCTGTAGAAAGCGTGCTTTGTAAAAAATGACTACTTAAGTAGCATGCATTTTTCCCAATGATTTTCGATGGTTTTGAAAATTCGAGTATATCTTATAGAAACCACAAACAAAAATGTGCTTTCTTTATGTCAATCAATAGAGAATCACGTCTTCTTTATATTTTATACTTAAGGAAGGAGTATAATTAGGTTTTAAAAAAGTTTCTAATTATGAGACTTTTTAAGACCGCGATATGTCCATTCACATAGCATCGTAGCTAGACGTTTACCACTGCTCCTCATGTAATGTACAACATGGTCCGCATCGATTACAAAATTGTATGGACCCAGTAGGATATCTCTTTAATGACATTAAAAAATATGGGATTTTCTTTACGCGGAACGCATGCTCCTTGTAGAGTGTAATCACTAAGCGCTAATGCAACGAATGATCAGGCTCCAATTTTTTCGGCAATTAGAAAACTTTTTTAAAACCTAATTATACTCCTTCCTTAAGTATAAAATATAAAGAAGACGTGATTATCTATTGATTGACTAAAAGAAAGAACATATCTGTTTGTGGTTTCTATAAAATATATTTGAATTTCCAAGACCATCGAAAATCAATGGGAAAAACGCGTGCTACTTAAGTAGTCATTTTTTACCGAGCACGCTTTCTACAGGAGTTTGAAAAGAAGTGCATTTAAAAGCCGACATCCATCCGAGTCCAAAATGTTATAAGAGTATGCCTTAAGATGATCAGTATCACAACCGCGACCAAGTAATCCTTCCTAATCAAAACGCATTTCAGAATTTCAGCCAACATTTCATGAGATAGGTCACGCACTGTAAGTGTAGCGGGCATGTGAAAATGTTTGCTGTGATCATTCATACAACTGGTTGACAGATGGAACGGAGTTTTAAGCGCCGATGGTGCCTGAAAGAGAGTCAGTCAGGTTTAAGTCGGGCTTGCAGCCCTAATTAAGGCGAACGAGGATGAATGCATACGTGGACGACCAGTTGAGAATGGACAAGATATCAATGGAGCCACAACGAGAGTTTCAAAATGTCTTGTATTAGTTTTTACCTCAGTCCCCTTCCTTTGGGATCAGAGATTAAAAGAAAATACACCGATTTTAGGAACGCTATCAACATGTCAACACTCTTGCAGCACTGATAATTAGGACAAAACGCTGTGTTTTGGTAATCATGTTAATAATTTGTTGCTAGTCATTTGCTTTCAGCACTGTGGGCAGCTTTCAAACGAAGGACTACCATGTGGTTTACAGCTTATAAGGCCATGCTTACTAGAGAATTTACAATAAAGTATTTTCCTCCGGTGGCATAGTTTCAATATTTTACGGCGATCTTTTATGATTACGTTCTTTTATAAATAGTCACCATAACCGATGAGCAAGACATGAGCCCCAAACTATACATACATAATCCTAAAACTGAACTCCTTGGCATTCAAACAAGAAGCAACACAGCGGCTTTTAATTCCCAACTACCGCCTCTCAGTGTATTGCCGCGACATATGTAACCGACTTAAATAATGCCCAAACGAATTTTGCTTAAATTCAGACGCCTTCAACAGATAACGTCCTATTTTTAATCATTTTGGGCAAAATCAGACATGTTAAAACGTTACATAGACGACTTTTCTTTATGGGCAGCCTTATGACGGAGCCATGCGGATTAAAATGAATCAAAACTTGCCAAAGAGGCATCGTAATATAGGAAATACAAACGGGCAAGGAACCTTATTTTTCCGAAAAGGTTTCACTCATTTCCTATCAAAAAATTTAAAAACATATTTATTGTTCGACTTGGACACTGAGAACAGTTTCTTCATTTCACAGTATTAAGTAGACTTAAGTCAAATATTTCCGGTTTTTAACTTTAATGAAAAGAAGGATGTGGGAGGTTCATACATTTTTCAGAGATAGTCGTCTTGTTAGCGAGCAAAGGGTGCGATTTTAAGGCCACTCCGTAAACATCCTTATGGGCTTTTAGCAAAGAAACAGTAGCTTCTTTTTACTGTGCCGTGAATAATGCGTGCAAGGACAAGGTGTTTAACGCACATTTGGACTTATCCGAAAACATGGGTAGGCCTTTGGGAAAACTTGTCCAGCCAACCAGGACTCCGAGTCTCTGGTATGCGATTTAGCACCAGATTGCACCCCACTCACAGACGCTGGTCGAAGTGATGATGAGGGATGTGTAGCGTCGCTGATGATCTTAGCAGCCTTGGGGCGATTCAGGGGATTTTTGCAAAGAAGTTCTCTAATTAAGCTGCTCGCCGACTCAGAAATACGCTGTGGGATCTTCACCTGTTGACATTCTAGAATAGACTTACGCAGTTGGCCGACAGTTCGACCGCGAAAGGGTAGAAAGCCTACTAGAAGGTAAAAAAGAAGAACCCCTAACGCCCATATGTCGACTGGAGGTCCGAGATAACTGAAAGTAAAATACAATTCGTTAGCGCGCTGCTAGGCATGAATCGCATATAAAGTGTCATACAAAGGAGTGGCGCGAGACCAATAAATTTGCCACGAGCAGTCAAGGCATCGTATTAGTGATATAAAAGAGGCAGATTTCAGTTATGTTTATTTACCCTTTTGGGCAAAATTAACGGGTCACATTAACTTTCGTATTTGACATTAATTTTGTAAATGAAAACTATGGGCATAACAACTTGTAGATAAAATGTAAGCATAAGGCAAACAACATTATAGATCTTATTATTTATTACAATATAAATATCTATCTAAGTAGGATGTTATTTTTTTAGACCTATTTTGTTGAATAAATGATGGAATCGCCAACTTAAAAAACTGCCTAAATTGTGAAGAACCATTACAACAAAAACGTCAGTCCAGGAACATTACGCGGTATATATGATCCTCAAATATTCGCCGTGAGGTTACTAAAGGTATCTTCCATAAGGTGGAAGATATACAAAAAACCCAAAATTTGAAAGATTCCGATGTTTCACTTTGGACTTTTCAGCTGAGCAATTAGAAAGTGAACATTGCAAAAACATCTAGGCCTACCTCAGAAAGATGCCTGCTCTGTCAGAAGCACTAAAAGCTGCATAGACTTTTATATACACTTAAATAGTTAACGCCTTTAAAAGATTTAAGGCTTTTTAAAATTATTTCCACACTTCTGTCGTTTATTTTACAGATGGCCCTTAAAACTCAAAGTAACAAAATATCTATAAGTCGTGCTAATCCTCAGTTTAAACAATCAGGCTTTCTTCCAGATTACACGCTTTAACAAGTAAATGCGGTTCTGATAATGATTTCCATGAATGTAGCGCATTGCATCCTGACTATTAACTGTTATTTCTTACTTTTTAACTCTCGTAGACAGTTTTTATGGGGTGTTTAGTTCTAAAATACCGTGTTTAGCTGCGTTGATGATGTTAGAATGGTAAGGTACACCTTACAAAGAAAAACACAGGAAGAAACTTCAAATAAACCATATACGGGCGTTGACTAAAAATAGCTACATTATTTTGCGAAGTAGACAGTTCATACAATAAATCACTTTTAGTGCACGGAAATGTTGGTATGACCAATAAGATCACTATTCCACAAAGCATATTTTTGTTTTGTGAAATGGCTATTAGCATAATGGTAGAAGGGCGCTCGTTGATCGGGCTACGGGACTCAATCCTCTTGTTGTGCCTTGCAGCACTCTCTCGAGCTCCGCCAGCTGCCGCACAGGGCGCATGATATGGGCAGCATAGCATTACCGGCAAGGACAAAAAAGACTGGAATGGCCATTTCTGATTTAGTAGCCGTCGTCGGACAATCACACCCAACCCCGAAATGTGGAACAACCGGAGGTTGATCCCGCGACCTGTCGGTTGGAAGTCCAACGCCCCTAACCAAAGCACACCGGAAGGAGTGAGATCAGTAGCGCGATCGGTGAGCGCACTTCCACCATTATGTATGCCCGATGAAAACGAACAGGATAACGAGCCCGTGGCTCAGTGGTTAAGAATGTTTAACTTCTAACCAACAGGTCGCGGGATCAACCGCCGGGCGTTCCACATTTCGGAGTTGGGTGTTATTGTCTGACGGCGGCTACTAAGTCAGAAATGGCCATTCCAGTCCCCCTTGTCCTTGTCGGTGATGTCGTTTCGCGCATATTAGCATAGTACAATTGAGTATTTGTCCCCCAATAATGCAATGTCAAGCTACCACTCTTGTGTTTGTGTTTCTTGTTATTTTTAATGCAACGGAACGACCAACTGAACAAACGCCAAATACTTAATGCCAATGAACTTGTAAGTAAAAGAAAAATAATGCTGTCGGGCAAAGTTTTAACTGAGTAGGATTAGTCACTCAGATTGAAAATGCAAAATTAAATTACTGTGATGAATGGTTGCTTACGACGTTGACGAAAATAATTCAGGGGCAGCATAGGGTGGAGATCCGCAAAATGTTGACAAGTGTTGATTTCGGCTGTCCATAATTTTACTGAAACCAAAATCTCCAATTTTGACGCGGTAAAAGTCCAGCGATTCAACAGGCTGGTGTTCGTTGCCTAAAGCTTGTAACAGAGTATAAACGAAGTCAAAAATTTCGCAATACTACAAAGGGTTTGTAAACTGCCACTCACTTATAATCATTAGAAATCATGTAGTTAACTTCGAAAATATAGCTTTTTATTGTGAAACAACGACTTAAGTATGGCGGTATAATTCCTACTCTTAATTAAGTTAACTGTTTTTATAGCACAGGACAAATTTGGTTATCAGAAAACATATTCGACCGTACTCATTTTCTCTATTATATTTTTCGTCTGAAACTGATAATTGCTTTTTTGCGCAAAGCTACCAATGATGTTGCTGTTACCACTAATTGCCGTGACATTAGAAAATATACTTTTACGATGTTGTTAGCATTTTACTGTTGGATTTGTTTTCGTTGTCTTATGATGGCTGAAGAACACTTAGCGCCTTGTAATATTACCCAGATATTCTGGAGAATAATGATAAATATGAATCGGTCCTTTGAGTTACCCCGTAATTACTGTCCATTTGACGGCATCAATCAAAGTCATATATTGAATGGCTGTCTGGAAACAAAAGCAAATTGATAGGAAAATGGGACAGATTGAAATTCATGCAAAGTAAAAGAATGTATCAAGCATATTTTCGTCTCGATCAAGGCTACGCTTTACATTGATAGCTATTATTGACAGCGTCCGGTTCAACAATAAGCGAACGCTCGAATAAAGTCTCTTAAGACCTAATTGTGAAATAAATATCATTTAAAAGAGATTGAAAAACACGGGCAGTTTGGACAGTCAATGAAATATCCGCACTAGGAAGAGATAAAGCCCTGGGGCTATTTTCCACGCCTACACACGACCTCTTCAATATATGCATCACGGTCAGTATTTCTAGGGATTATATTATACCTTTATCTTCCTGAACAGAAACTCAGGTCGAGATATGCCACATGACTAAGATTAAGAAAGGGCGCCAATCTGACCATTAATTGTGATTTCACGTATAATAAAGAAGTTACTGGAGTGCTGAGAATTGAACCGCTATCTTGGTTGTCTTTATGTAAAACACCTGAAGATTAATCTGACCCAACGTAAAAAACAGCGGCCTCGGTGGTGATCATACACTTTACAGCAACTGCAAGGCCTGTGTACAGCCAACACGCGCGTGTTTCGAATTTAGTTTAGAATCCTCGAATTCCGCGGATTTTCACACTCCACACCTATAATCGAGTTCACGCAAACAGTACCTTTCTCTTTAGACATTTACACCGAGATAGTTGCAGGACCATTTTAAACCAACATATTTGCCTGGCCTCACAATATCGTTAACAACAGAGTCGTTTTGAAATTTTCTTCATGTATTTGGTGGTTTCAAATCGATTTGCTAGTCTTTATGTAAACGTTCCTCAGACATCCCATACAGAAATGAATATCGGACTTGGAGAACAATCGGCAGAAAGGAGTAAGTAGTTGGGATTCGAACCCGGTAAGACGACTCCCAAACGAATAAGTCAACCATCAGAGTATGCAAAGCGTCGCAGTGGATGAACATTCTACCCAGATAAGTGTATCTAGTCGTCAGATGTATTTCATGGATAGGCTCTTTGTCATCCGATCTTCTCCCACCAAGCGGGTATGTAACTCAAAGGCTTCAGAGACGTGATGTACGAGGCTAAAGTTGAGCCGGAGGATTATATCCCCTGCTGAAGGTTCTAGATATGAAAGCGAAGTGAACAATCTGAAAATATTAACCTATTCTGCGCTTAATCCACAAAAGGAGAAAGGAAAACCCGACGCAAAAGAAAAGAAGATGAAGGTTCTGTAGCATCGCAGTGGAGGCCCTAAAGTAGGATGCCGAGTGCTGGGAGTCCTGGCCTACCACAGCCGGAAAAAACTCAGTTCATGCTTAAATCACGACCAGCCACAGAATCCGCTGCTAGTCGTAGGAGTCCATAATAAAGGCTGTTCAAGCAAATAAATAAACAAAGTGCTTTAAGTACTACCTCCGTGACGCTAGTAACCGGGCAGCCGTCAAAGCCCACAATCCAAAATAAGCCTAAATTTCTACAACATCAAATTTCCTATGAAAATGAAAATAACATCCGTTTAAGCAATTGCCGTTACATGAATAGGTTTTTCCCAGAGAACGCCAGCGTCGAGGAGAGCGAACAAGTTACCTCTGTGTCAAGAGACAAGCATAACGGAAGCTAAGTAGAGCAAAATGAGAGGTGTCATTGTCAGTTCGTGACGACCACATGTTAACTTTCTCCAGGCGCGAACTGCTTACAATAGGAGAGGTTCGTCGAACAGATGGCAATTCCTGATAATTCAGGGACTTCCCAAAGAACGAGTCTCGGTAGACTCAGGGCTTTTCCAAGGTCTCCTTATCGAACCTATGCAGCCAACTGAGGAAGTTGCGGTGCTCAAAGTCTGTCGACTCGACAGGCGCTTGGACGTACCTGCTATTGTCTCTGATGATGGGTTCGAGCAGGAATCCGAAACGCCGGGCGAATAAGCTCTTGTCCTGGCGATCGTGTCTCCATAACGGCATCGTAGACTGTCTATGCCCCAAGCTGTTCCAAGTAGTGCTGGCTACTCGGGAAAAAGACATATTTATTATTTCCCGATGCTCCATTGTGAAATATGCCAACCGCGGTGTCTTTGTCAGCCGAAATACACAGCCTTACAGAGAATGGAACACCGACAATTAGTTTTGGAACCGCAAATGCGAATGTATAGTGGGGGGAAGAATCTGACTATACAGGACAGATAGATAGTCCAGTGCTTTCTAGCATTCTGCTGGCCGAACCACTTCGAATGAAGGCCCACCTTATTCATCAAATGGAGACTCAAGCTGCGCTGTACGAAAACACTGCAAAAATATGAAACTCGAAACTGTGTACACCAAAATACTGGGCATAATGAGTTAGTTCCAGAAACTGGTAATCCGCATCTACGACCTCTCCCCAGACGTTATGTCTTTGACAGATACATGATTGTGTGACAATGTATATGACCGAAAATTGTCACCAACCGAATTTCACTTATTTTGAAGAGATACGAGAGAATGCCAGACGGAGGAGTGCTCATGTACGTATAACGCGGACTGCTTGTGTCAGAAAAAAACAGATAGGTTCGTATGCGGCACTGAGGTTATCTGACTCGCTATAAAGGCACCATGACATCAAAGCATTGAGGTTCGGGACTGCCTGTCGAACACCGAGAAGTAAGCCCGAGGCTGATGCTCGTTTGATTGAGGAGCTAAAAAGATTCTCTAGTCGACCTGACGTCCGCTCATGAGAGATTTGAATGCCACGCTTATTGGCTGGAGTCCAGTTTATGCATTTGGTCTAGAACTAGTATCTGATCGACGTTTATTAAACATGACATTTAGGATATTTCTGACTCAGTACTTCTTGTTCCGGACAATGGTGCTTGAGGGTAACAGTCAAACTGTCTGCAGTTGGTGCTCAAGAGTTCACTGGACAGAACTGATGAGCTTTAATGTCTACCTTTCCCAGGTCGAAACAGTCATGTCACACAGTTCTCGGAATATTACATTATTCGGTACCCGAATGGCCCATCAGACTCATCAGAAGCATATGGCACGGTGACTTTAGTCAAATGACGGCCGAGGTAAACAACATGACATGGGAATCAGCTTTGCCGACAACAGCCGAGGGTTGGGAATTGATCAGTGAGTCATCGTATTCGACCCCGAAACCACCGCCCGACTTCACGGAAGAGACTGAAAAGTAAATCCAAGTGACTGGCACAGGCCTTCAAGAGAGATGTGAACAAATACGGAGATGATAAGAACCCTGTGCCGATAAATGCATACAAGGCGCAGAGGAACCTAGTCAAGAGACTTGTCCTCAGAACACGGCATGAGTTCGAAAGAAATCGGCTGAAACGTGCCGTTAAAAATCCAAGGTTGGCCACTGTCACGTCAGGGGTACAAGAGGCAGAGATCCCATGTCCCGACTGAAGGCTAGTGAAGACCTAGGCGTTAGTAAAGACGGGCAAAAGCGAATTCACTCTACTCGACTGCGACTTGCGGAGTGTCCCAAGATTGAGACTGCATATTTTACCGAAACAACTGTTAGTAAAGGACTTTTGGCGCCGAATGAGTAAAGGTCACCGTGTTCAAATGACATACCGTCCTAATTACTGAGGAAACTTGCTGATAATATAGCCGAACAACTCGCCACGCATTTTACAGCCTCATTCGAAATCGACTGTTTGCCCGCCCATTGGAAGTCTGCACAAATCACTCCGTAGAGGTGGAAGCAAGGTCACCGCAAATATAAACAGACCAGTGGGCCTCATTTGGTTCGCTGAAAAATCATAAAAAAATAACTACGCGAGAGCTACTGCATTTTTAGAGCGACAAAATGTACTATCTGATGCCCAGCATGGATTTCATAAAAGTGCGTCTTGCTTGAGAAACTTTCTTTGCTGTTTAGAACACTAGACTCGGGCACTTGATGGAAGGAATGCGGTGCATGCAGTCTGTATCAACTTTACGGAGGCCTTTGTTAGTACACTCCATCAGCGGCTTCTGTACAAACTTAGCCGAACAGGCGTCGGGACAAGCTCCTTAATTGACCTCTCTTAAATGGTCTATGTGGGTAACAAGCAGCCGGTTGAGGTTGTAAGCGATGTCCCCTAAGGCTCAGTACTTGGTCCTGTCCTGTTCATTGTGTAAGCCACCGACTGCGTCCATAAGCTGGCCTGTGCTGTCACCATGGTTTCTGATGATATCAGGCTTTGGAGTGTTGTACGAACTGAAGCTGACGAGGAGCGCCTGCAGGTAAGCCTGAAACGACTCGGGCAACAGTTTAATGACAGTTTTTTCTCTTTTCCTTTGAACAAAGATCCAATATCGTACAATTCGACGGAGGTAGATTCCAGAAATGCAAGGTTTTCTGTCTAAATAACATGCCACTGCAAGAAGTGGACGCCCGGAAAAACTTGGCTGTGATGATAAGGACTTCACTTAAACTATTATCGCACTGCGCAACGGTAACCAACTCAATTATGTCAGTTCTGAGTCTTACTAAGCCGAATTTCTCTAGCTTCGATGAAGACTTTTTCGCTTAAGTCTTTCGAACTGTAGCCCGTCATCTTAACCGAGAAATCTTGGACTGCCAAGGACCTTAGTGCTTTGGGAAATTTCAGTGGTGCGAAATCAAATTTGAACCTGGACGGGTCTCGCTGCTCCATGAAACACAATTATCCAATATCGTTTCGTTTTCCATTGAGTTACGGGCAGATACGAGCATTCTGCATCATGCACGGTCAGGAAAGCTGTCTTGTACCTGGGGACTTCAAGTTAGCAATCACAACGAATCTGCGAGGACAATCAAACTGTATGTGACTGGCCACACTAAGCACAGGTAAGTACTTGAACAGAGTAGTTGGAACTTGGAAGGCTCTCCTAACAGCTCGCACCATAACGTTATCTGACCCACATTCTGACGCTCTGCATTTACAATTTATTACGGATGGAAGCGAATATGCGAATCCCAGGGTCTCGTTGTAAAGAAGAAGGGCACGCGATCTCTGGGACAATACGTGTACTAGTCTGAGCTTTCGTTCTCGTATAGGAGACCACCGTCAGAGACTGTGATAATGCAGCGTCAACTCAGCAGTCTTTATAGTCAAACAATGAAGGAGGGGGATAGAAGTTCAGGAGGGGTGGTGGTGGTGGTCGCGACAAGGCTGAGTCCACGCCGTCTCACGGCGGCGTGACCGCGTGCACCCTTGACTGGGAATGGGGTCTCACCCCTTGATCGCGGGAACGGAGCGCGTGATAGCAGGGGTATATCAACGTGCCTATTTATGGAGCTGATGTCAGACATCGAGGCCTCCAGCAGTTCTAGCCATGTCTTATTGCTGGCGCGCGCCACTATCCGTTTGCTCACAAAGTTTAATTCATGGCCTTCCTCCGGGGTGTGAGTGGCGGCTTCAGTCAACGAGTCGCCTCTCTAGACTGCCCGTTTATGCTGAGTTATTGGGGAGCTAAGCCGTCGTTCGGTCTGTCCTATGTAATAGTGAGGGTGGTCCCGGCATGGGATCTGATAAACGACATCCGACTGTTCTCCTACGTCTATTCGATCTTTAACTCGCATGATTTTGTTGCGCACGATCGCTGTCGGACGGTGAGCGATACCCACGCCGAGCTCTCCAGCGATGCGTTCCGTCGCCTCGGACACATTCTTTGTATATGGTGGAGGGTGCCAGATTGTTGGCGGCTCTCTTTCGTTTTTTCGTCATGGTTGCATGCGGAGGCTGCGGCTGAAAAAACTGTTTACGTATCCATTCCTTGCCAGTTGGTCCCGAGGGTGCCATAGTTCTCGTACTCGTCACTCCGGTTCACTGCAATGCGTTTTACCCCTTGGAAGAGTGTCCTTACACAGCTGCGTTTATGCGCCATTGGGTGGTTACTATAGAAGTTGAGAATCTGAGTCGTGTTAGTCTCTTTTCTGTACGCCGTGGTGTTGAGTTCGCCATTGGGTGTGCGTGTCCCGTGGACGTCAAGGAAAGGCAACTGTTCGAAATGCTCTTCTTACCTCGTGAACTGAATGTCGGGGAAGATGTCGTCAAACAGGTCTTGAAAGTCTGCTAGTCTGCTCCTTTCAATTATGGCAAACGTGTCATCTACGTACCGGCGCCAAAACGCGGGTTCATAGTAGTCGAAGGCGACTTTTTTCAACTCCTGTAAGACTAGTTCCGCAACGAGCCTGGATATTTGCGAACCCATCGGTGTTCCTTTGATCTGGTCGTATGTTCTGTCATTAAAAGTGAAAAAGGCTTGTTGGCAGAAAGCAAAATTTTAGTATGTGATCGATTTTTAAAGGTCTTTTCGTTTCGTCGTAATTTTGTTCGAGTCATTTATATAGAACGTCACGTGCCAGGTCCGGTGAGATAGATGTAAATAATGAAACCATGTCAGAGGACATCATAATCTGATCAGGTCGAATAGTTATTCCTCGGATGTCAGGCAGGAACTGGTAGGTCGAATTGCTGGAGGTCTTCGAGCATTCTCGGAGAAACTTTAGTTTTCGGACCATTCATTTGGCTAGATTTTAAGTGGGACTGCCTTTCAAGGCAACGATCGGTCGAAGGGAAACATTTGGCTTGTGGATTTTGGGTAATTTATAAAAGCGGGTCATTGCCGTGTCCGTTGGTTTCATCTGTCGCCGTTCGTCTAGCGATATTGCACTGTCGTGCCTGTTTCGGTTCAAGAGTCCGGTTAGTTGACCGATCATCGTTTTGGCTCGCGAGGAAGGCGTGGATTTGTAGGACTGTTGGTCGTCAAGGAAGGCTTGTGCCTTTCCGTTGTAATCGACGCGGTTCATCATGGCGGTTGCTCCTTTCATCCCCCTCCTTCATTGCTTGACTACAAAACTGCTAATTTGACGTCGCGTTCTCAGTCTCTGACGACGTCTTCCTGTACGAGACCGAAAGCTCAGACTAATATACGTATTGTCCCAGAGCTCGCATGTTCACCTTATTTGCAATTTATTACGTTTGCAGTGCTACTGTGAATGTTTAAGTAGCCCTCGTCTACGAACGTTTCTTATCGCCTCCTAATTAACGATATTTACAGCGGTGTTTGAAGACAATTAATATCGCACTGCATTCTCTGTAGTATGGTTTTGCTTAAAATGACTGATGTACTACGCACTAATCATCGCATATACGCATGTAGGTCTGTCAGTGCCATTACCACTTAAGAGTGTTTGTCTATCTGTACGGTTTGCGATAGTTCAATAATGGTTCGATGTTCACCTTTCAAAATTATTAACATAATTTTGTTGCTTGTAAAAAAACAAGGAGTTCAAAGATGCAGACCAAATTAACCTCGAATAGACTGAACTGGACTGAACGTTCTAGCCACCTGAGCAACTTTTTTCATGAGTGCAAACCTCACAGATGCCTCCGAGTCTTCACAAGTGGGTCAGACGAATTACACAAATCTGTCACTAAAACATATAAGTCTGAAGATCTCATTCCTTGTGCAGTTTGTATTGATGGCATAGGTTAACTTTAAGTCACATATACGATATAGTTGGGAAGGAAACACGAACACAAACAACCGGTTATTCAACAACTGTAAAATAAATTGTGAGTATGGGTACGAACAAATGGCTCTTATTTTCAAATTGGTATGTGCGTGGGGTCCATAAACTGACCGAAGGATCTTATGCAACTTTTCAGCATGAAAATTTTGATTATTTGTTTACTGCAAGTAGTACTCACCAACCGCTTTTGATATAGCCAAATACTCTCCCCAGAAGTGTGTTCTCAGATGAAGATGCAAGGGCAAATAAATATTTGCTTAAGGTGTATTCTTGCTACTTTACCCTATCAAGAGATCGTAAGTCCAACTTCAACACATCAAAGACATGGTTTCGTGTAAACGATGGATAATGGCATTGTTTCTACTTCATACTGGTGCATACAAAGTAGAATGTTGACCCTGGCATTCGAAACGTACTGATGGGGGAATTTTTAAATATAGGCAGCCATTCAAAAAGTAAACTTAGGCATAACTAGTCAGTATAGTAAGGAGTAACGAGCATTCCTAAGAAATGCATTTAAATATATTACAAACAAAAAACATCGAATTTAAATAGTTACATCTTTCCACGAATTTTTAAAGATCCCTCAGTTTCACCCTATTAAGCTATAGAAGTTTTCAAAAAATAGGTTATTTTAGCGGCGTGTTTTAGCGAGAAGCATATAGCGATGTAACCATTGGAAATTACCTGACAAATCCAGCGAAGAACAATTCTGCAGACGCTTTCTCGCCACTCTACATTCACCCAAAATCTTTATTTGTGCGTCACTTCCAGCATATTCCCTCTTTTGTAGGGATCCCGACTTCGCTATATCTTCATAAGAGTCAGTCACCGACGAGCGAACAGCGAAGAAGACGTTTTCGGCCTTTATGTCACGGTGAGCAATTTTTCTTTCATGCTTATGAAGAAAAATCTTGAACGTGAACCACATTGTAAAGTAACCACTAAAGCATGTAAAAGATCTAATCCAGACGCAAAATGCGACATTTTGTGAAAGTAATCTACGGTTACTAGTATAAGCCAGTGAAAGTCAGAAAAGTTTATTTAAGAGGCATAAATGCCGTATCAATTACAGAAAGCCGAAATCACTGTAACGGACATTACCGATACATAGTCAAAAAATGTTATTGAGTTTGTTGCCTACGATAGGCAAGTTTGAATGCTGGTACATCTCGTTTTCCATTTTATTAAAAATTTCTGCAATTATGGAAAATATTTGGGAAAACTAATTCTGCCTTTCTGAAATAATAAGGTAAACGTAGCAACAGAAAGCATTTCTCACTCCAGCATTTTGTATATAAAATACCGATGAGTTTCAGCATATTTAGAATGCTTCCTCATAGATCAATTAATGGATTTTGATCGAATGTCTACGTAATTTGGTTTCTCTTAGTCACATCAGAATGCTCTTTACTAATGCTCAAGGATAAAGATGTGCGACTATCAGAACACGCATAGAGCCAAATAAAATAAATACGTTTGCCTATTAGTTCGAAATAGAATTTAGAACCAGACGCCCCCTGAATAGAATAAGCCCAAATGTTTTGTTCTAAACATATATCTCCAAAGGGTACCTTATCCCTGTCTGTCGGTGTTTATTCATAATGCAGTTGGTAGAAAATATTCTAAAAGCACCGATATATAGATTTCTAGTCAGAGTGGAGAATTTCAATTAAGACTCCGTCCACACCGATTTGCCAAGCATGAGATTTAACTCAAACGCAATGTTAGTCTGCATGGAAAGTTATTTAAGAGGATAAAAGTGGCCAACATAAAAATGATCATATGGCGAGCGTACGCGTTCTTTCAATAAATTCTTATCAGACAAGTCCATTTACATTTCGTGACCTAACTCATGAAATGTATCGAAATTTACGAATGATTGCCAAGCAATCGCAAACCGACACCATTTCATGATTCCAGCGTCTATGTAAATTAAGTACAAGTTTAAAAGAATTAAAAACATAAAAGAAATATTATAGGCAGTGTTGCGTTGTTTAGAAATACCGATTTATTTTGAAAAGAACAATATCCCGAAAACGGCAAAAAGGGCTTTAATTAAGTAAAATTCGTTTTTAGATGTATATGATGTATTCTCATACCAAAAACGTAGTAATTATGAAAGAAGACATAAAATAACGTCTAATAGCAGTGTTGTAGTTAAGTTTATACCTAAATATCGTTTAATAAGTAGTGTGATTTCATATATGATGGTTTGTCAACTGCCGACATTCTGAGTATGGATTCCAAAACAGTTTTCCAGTGTTTCGTGTTTTCCTTGACTATGTGGAGTTAAATGAGATGGGGTCCAACAAAAAAAACTGGATATTGTTTGAGTTAGCCGATGGGGACGTCATAGGATCAAGATTTTTCATAAGGTGACATGCATGAGGCCGGTCGGTGTCTAATAAATTTAAACAGAACTGACAGGCATGATCGTAAACATATCATTTTGTGTTAGAAGAGAGAACTTTTCTTCTGTTGCATATATGTGAACAATGCACAAAGTAAAACGTGTGAGCGATAAGAGAATCTGACTGCGGTTCGTCTTTTTATACATGCGGGGTGTGTGAATAGGGTGGAGGAAGGATGCAGTAAGTGGCAGTAAGGGTTCGGTAGAGCCGTGTCACGGGGAAGTGGGGGACCGAGGGCGCGGAGACATGCATGCAATCAATCGATCTTTGGTCAACGTAGCCGCGGAACATGCAAGAGGTTCTTCCGCGCGCACAGGACCGGCCTCCGTAGCGTACTGGCCGTCGCTTCTGCTGTTGCTAGTAGGCGCTGACTCAGTTGCTTAGGCTAGTAAGGTGGGATCTTGTAAATCACACGGAAGGCTTTTTGGGGTCAACTCGACGCCCAGAATTAACCAGGTGTACGAGGATGGAGCTGTGTCCATTTAACTTCACCTTTCCCTAGCCATTCCGGCAGGTGTTCTCGTATTCTGGTGTGTAGGTGCCGGCTCGTTGGGCCAATATAACCTGCTCCATGGAAGCAAGTAAAGGAGTAAATGCACATGGGGTTGGTCTTATTTGGTAGCCGCTTACTGCCTCCTTCCCACCCTACCCACAGATCCAGCTTGTATGAATAGACACGCGTATGTTCGTCAAATGGTCTTCTAAATTGCCGCGTAGGAGTTCTTGTAACTAAACCTTAAAAAACACCCTAAATTCCCGTTTAAACCTGTAAGTTGTTTTATCCAAGTTTTGCATCTGACCGTCGATTGTAAGTTATTTTATGTTACGCGTTTAGTTCCATGTTGTCACATTATAAGTTTGTTGACATGGACCTATCTGTAAATGCAACGATGTCTACAAAATAATAACAATGAAAATGGCGACTGCTTGAGTTCTCATATGAAACAGGCGTCAATTCAAAGTATGCACAAAATTACGCAGAAGGCCCGTTTTTGTCTGTTTCCTTGCAAAATCTTTACGACTTTAAATAAATTAAGAGCCTAAAAAATCGCTTGCTTTTTATGACTATGGTTTCCAGTTGGCAGAATTTACTATACTGGTACTTACAGTTAAGGTTAAAGTCATTAGTAAAATTGTCCCACAAGTTGAACAAATGTGTACGGAGACCGTCATTCCTTAAAGTTGGAAGTCTAAGCGCCAGAAAATATAACCACTTTACCAGAGGTTTTGAACATTCTTTGGAGTCCAGAATGAGTGATATGAAACCATCTACGAAACACGCTGTTTAAACCGTGGGATAGCAAAGCAGCTTGTTACTGTGTCATTGCGGCGGTCAACAATCCCCTAGCTCGTTTGTGGTCTTCTGTCTAACATGGTGATAGTTAGTTTGCGGATGCTATTTTGGTGCATCTGTTAAGAGAAGCTCAACTGTTTTCCCTTAATGACCAACTTCGTCCAGCATCAAACTCAGAGCTTATCTATGACCGATTCCCAAATAATTCATCTTCATAATACCTAAATCAGCCACTTCATGAACATTGATCCAATTAGTTAAGGAACCTTCAAAGAGAGCTCTTGAAACTTAAGAAGACAGGCGACAGTTATCGCTCGTAGATGTGCATATTTAAATGAATGTACAAACTCTTCATTCACTTGCAAGCTTATTGCAACGAAAATATGCATCAACAGCCATTCATCAGATAATTAGGCTTTGAATTGGTTTCTTTAAAGTTGTAAATTACAATACGCGCTTGCCTATGGCAAAGTGGAGTTTTTAAAACTCGAAGTTGAGATATTTTTATTTTGTGACCATGCATGGAATATTCTCATTGCACAGTCTATATCAAATAACCTAGTGCTATGTATTATTGTTGAATTACTTTACCCAAAAGAATCGTCCAATAGGCTTATGAATAAGAAGGGAAAAGATCATAGTACAATAACATTTGAAAAAAGTTTTGTTCATGAATATGTATTCCCATGACACTTGCATTCATTGATCTATCCTGATTGCGCAAAAATACGTCTTTCACAAGGATTGGTGAGTGGAACTCATAAACCACTTGAACGGCCGCAAGGTGGCTGCGTTCAAACGATCGTTTCCAGTAAGATTTTCTCGGTCCACCACTTCATTCACATACCTGAGCTCCGACAATAAATTTTAGGGTTTTGAAGTACCATCCTACTCACTAAATTGTGGACTCTAATCATATCAGCTAAAATCAAAAATATCCAATTGTCTGGCAGTGGCGTGCACGGACTTCTACCTGCCTCGGATCTCCGTATCTTCAACGCATGGGAGCGGTGGCAACGCGAATATACTCAGTAATGGTTGGATGTTTGTCGCCTATGAGGGATGTCTATTTCTAGCCTATTCATCATCATCAGCCAGTAGTAAAGCAAATTCAGGTGTTTCGACAGCACCTTCAACGCCTCAAATCCCATACTACCGGTTTTTGCCAAAGTGTTGCAATCGGGCAGGCCCAATCAGATGATGGTGATGTGCACCGATCCATCCTATTTTCAGAAGAAAAATGAGAATTTTGTTTTGCCTCGAAATAGGGGCATAGGTTTCCGTTGGCAATTCCACGGTGACTGTGATCAGTGATAGCAAAAATGTCACCAGCAAATACAGAGATTCTGAGACTACCATCTCCTGACTATTTGCATCGATAGGCTAATGATATCCAACCAAAAATACTGGCGGATACGACATTCCAACGTGAGTCTGTATGACTTTGAGCAAATTGCTGACTTCAACTGCACGACTTAATCTTAGGTAGATACAAAAGAGAAAGGTGTGAATGCACGAGAGTGATGTGCATTGCTTTGTCTTGATTGCGGGATGGAAATTGTCATTGGAGTTTGACTTGCGACTGAAGTTGTACAGGGCACGCAGGCCACAAAATGGCGACGATAGTCATCAATCAAGGAATGTGAAACTAAAATATTGACTTAGTAGTGTTGAGTTCCGACTTAGTTGCCGCTATCAGCCAGTGTTACTTCGCCTATGGGTACCAGCGCGCACGCGCCTTGAACCCGAGTAGATATGTAACCGTGCAACGCTATTACCATTGCAATACGGCCATATCCTCTAGAAACGAGAATATGCAGGCATAGCTATTGGCGCGCATAAGTCTATCTGTGGGATAAAAAAGACAGCAAATTTTGACTTTTAGCGGACGATTTACAATTATCAAGGTGGCCCAAATTGACAGTTTGCAGGTTCTAAGTTGGTGGATGATTTTCAGGCAAGATAAATCTAGCAACCAGCTCTATTCCCTCTCCGAAGACTACAGTGTTCTCATGTAGAATTGGCTATTTGCCGGTCGGCTCGTAAGGTGAGGGCAGATCTGTTCAAAAGGGTCATTTGACCCAGGAATCGCTCTCTGCACATGCATTAGCGTATATCCATCCCTCATTTTAACCTCCCTGCGTACTGTCCTGATCGTTTAACCATCGCAGTGACGAGGTGCATCATTGTTGCGATGAGAATGTTCTTACAGAGGGACATTTGTTTGCCAGCATCCATCTAAATCGCGATCCCCACACATGCTCTTTCAGTTGCAAGGCAAGTTAACGATTGATGCAGATGTAATGGGTGCAGGGCTTGGCAAAACTAGGCAACGTATCAACAAGTCTCTTGTATGAACTCATACCTAGCTACAAGCAAATCGGGTTTCAGTGATAAAATTTTATGTCTCACATAAATGTAAGTGTCGCCAAAACAACTTTAGGAAAAAAATATCGCAAGTTGTTCCTTGACACTGTGTAAGACTGAGTAGTCCCAAACTTTGCGATCGTGGAGCGTTTGATTAAAAGCCAGATCCGAGTTAGACTGATCTCAGACTACTCTCCATCCCATCTATCAGAGCCCGATCATGAAAGGATTTGGTGCAGTGCTTAGCTGTTATCTGATGCGTGATACAAGCGGACTCCGTTTCAAGCTAACAGTAAGACCAGAATGTGAATGAGACCTCATCTCCTGAATTTTTCCACAAAAGGACCGACTTAGCTTATCGGCCCTGCTCGTCCTTTCCCCTCTCACACAATAACGCTCCATTCAAACTCCTCGACTGACTGTTGATGATTTCGGATGTTGTTGTTAACACGACATCAGTCCACGCCCATACACGACAGAAATTAAGGACTGGGCCAATGTGACCCATTTTAGTTTATCATAGAAGAGACACAAACAGTTTTTGGCATATTTTTCGAGAAATCACTCGGCACTGTTTCCTATACCGCACACTTATTCTTTTCAACAGTAGGTTGTTGCTGTTGTCAGAAAGATACATCTTAGCGTTTAGGTGGTCTGGACGGGTGGTATTGTTGCTGAGCAGAAATCTGGTATTTTTGAAGGCACTATCTTTTAGTTAGTTCATCCAGAATGCACAGACCATAGTCATCGAACGTCTACAAAGCTGGTTTATCCGTGGGTCAGTTGGCATTGCTAGCACCGGTCCCTGGTACTGACCCATAACCTTGAAGGTGATCGAAATCTCGTGACTGCAAATACCCACTTAGTCACATGTAGGATAAATGACATCGAAGAATGCTTGGTTGGCACATGCACATTCTGCCGTCGCCCGTTTACGAAGCGTGCGTTTCCTTTCACGATCACTTCACACTACCCTACACGTCGAGCTCGACAACCAAGATGTATGTTTTATTTAAATATCATATAGGTTAGTGATGTAGCTTTATTATTGAAAAAACGTTTTATCCAAGGGACCTATGGTACTGTTCACGTTATTTTCCATGCAGTCCATTAGTGAACCTGAAAATACTCTTAATAATGTGTGCAAAATTGTTCCAATTTTGACGGTTTATTATAGACATAAAGTAGGATCCAAGGAAAAACCCGCAAAAAGCAATTGAAAGAAATTTCCATAAAAGAGCGTAAAATGGACTATGGCGGGCGGATAGGCAAGGGCGTGCAGGCTCTGTTTAATTTAGTCGAGAAAGAAGTAAACATTTTTTGCATTGAAACATCTCCCTAGACGGGTGTTCATGATTTCACAGAACGACTTAACTTGTGTGGGCTTTCTTGCCAGAAGCTACGCTCTAGTTAACAGGATCAGAAGAAAACGAAAAAACGCACTTACACTACAACCATTTTTTCCAGTATTCAAAACGCGATTTGCATACGTTCACGCAGTGTATAAGGTCATGAATCTTATGCGCAGATCACTAAATAGCACATATCTGTCTATAACGTTTTTTTCAAATCTACATTATCGATTCACAAGTTGTTCAACACTGATTTATCTGTAACAATACCATATTCTATTTAATTACAGAAACATGTCTATTTTTTCACACGCAAAATTTAAAAACCTTAGAAAATACTAACGTAGGTTTCCTTTCATATTTGAATAGCTCAGATTTTCGCGCTCAAAGCCTCTTTCTTTATAAAAAAAAGTCTCAATTAATAATGTTGAGACAATCTGTACAATAATGAAACAGAGGAGAACATCATTTGGTCTCCAATATTATGTGTAATAATACATAATGCTCATGCACTTAGAAAGTGGGACCTAATGGATGAAGATTTACAAATTCCAGATGTACCAACAAGCAAAAAGACAAGTCCAGCGCCGGGACCAGCATTTATTTGTCCGAGCTTCCGAACTCCTTCACCGTCCGACATAAAACAGCAACAAAACGGGCGACGGTTGAAGGCTATATATATTAGTCAAGGATCAGTGACGCTGATGTATAGATGGTTGCGCAGGGCACTGTACACCGGTGTTCGTCGGCGGTCAATACTCCAATACATTCTCGGTTTGTCTTAAAATTAAATGTCTCATGAGGCTATTCGAATTTTGACGAAAAAACGTGCTTTGCGTTTGAGAGAGAAACACGTAACCAAATCTGAGGGACTCCAACGAGATCCCCGATTTTCGGGTTAATGGAAGAACTGGTCCTACAAGAGTTAGAAAAGACTGCCTACATCCAACAGGAGTTGATATCTTGAACTCGTTACGTTGATGACACTTTTTTTATCATCGGAAAACACACGCCGCGGAATTTCCAAAGTCTGTTAAGTTCAATCTTCCCAGTTATATAATTTGCAAAAAAAATTAAAAAGCTAAGCGGCTGTCCTTCCTAGATGTGCTTGGTAGGCGAAATCTCAATGGTGAAATAGAGGCCAAGGTTTACAGGAAGGAAACAAATATAACGCAGCTTCATATATGTCATAGCAACAGTTCAGTTCAAAACTTGGTTTAAAAATAGACCTCAAACATATCCAGCAGAAGGAACGCGTGAAGCCTAATGCCTTCGAGTAAATTTGTACAGAATGGCTGTCTGACGGCGTTTACAACCCGATATCCATGTGTTCATCTACAGACGGTCTTGCCAGGAACATAATCAATGGTATGGCACGACTCTACATACATTGAAGACTTCCAGAGGCGACCGAGCGCATTGTCGCGGAACTGGGTGTTGAAATTGCACCCGGCCCTAATCTACCATGAAAATCAAAGATCTATTAAATCCCAACGAGCAGACAGGCTCAATAAATTGTAATCAGTGCCTAAAGGGGTCAGGCCGAACGCATGTTCGAATCGCGCATCCTAAAAGTAAACTGATTCTACAATAAGTTGGGGAATTATTCCAAGTGGCTGCCAACGTCTTTGAGACGAACCACTAGTTTAACTTCGCAGCCCCCAAGATAATCATTCCACCGGAAACTAGACGAACCGAGAATTTATTGAGGCCCGAACCTCCGTGTGGAACTCAGTCAATTGGTGTGTCGATCTGGTACTGGTACACAGAGCCCTTCGCAGCCACTTGCATATCACAGTCCCTGACCGTTGATTAACAAAATGCCCCCTACAACCGTCACCTGTTTCGTTGTTGCTTTTATACCGGGCGATGGATGAGCTCGGAAGCTCGGACGAATAGAAGCAGGTTGTGCTACTCGATTGATCCTCTGCCCTAGTTAAAACTAGAACCCTACAGAAGCGGATTTTTGTGTAAAAACTTCCTGTACAAAGCAACACGAAAATCACTACTAATGTTTTGTGAATGGCCCACTAAAGTGAATAGATATGTATGGTTTATAAACACGCTCTTCAGTTTCCCTTATCGTCGTTGAAAGGAAATGAGTCAATGTTTTGTTAGAGTTGCGAAAATCACATGTGCGCCCCGTCTGCTACTAGATGACGACAAATTCAGAGATGGTCACGCTTGTTTCCTTGTGATTATAAACGAGAATTTTCGAGATACCGCTCTGAATTTACTTTGAAAATATGCAAACCTTGTTTAAATCAAAGTACAGGAATTTTTGTTCCGGATTTTAATTCCGTATGGGAATGGGCTTTTCAACGTTACGTTATTTCACAAAATTAATCCACGAAAATCAACGGATTTTTCGAAATCACACAAACTTACAAATGTTTAATTTAATTTCGTTGTCAGTAGCTAACCTTTTTTTCAGTCACTTACTGCTCAGGTGACTATAAATTATTGCTTTTCTTTTTATCCAAAAATAGTTGGATTTTTATGATACCATCGCCCAAATTCGGATACGAAAACCACAGTAAAATGGAGAGACAAACAGTTCTTGGATAGAATGGAGGAGATATTTAACGACATTTTCTATAAAACAACAATTATTTTTGGGCGTTAGCAGTGGGTCTGGGCGTCAACCTTGCTTTACAGGTGCCTAGACCCTAGGCCATTTTTTATCTCCCATAAGAAGACACACACCCATGTTTTAGAAAATGCTCATCAACATGTCTCAAATTTAGCGTTCACGTTATAGTAGTAAGCAAAGCTCGGAGAGTAAAAATGCCCTGTCATAACAAATAATTTACAGCATTACCATCTAAGATATGCGCCAACATTCATGTAACTTTAACGAACGTAAAGTGAAGAATATGCCATAGAGTTTAATGCGATTGAGTTAGACAAAGGAGATGTGCAGATTTACAGGCTGCCACAGCGAAATACAACTACCCTTATTTTTCTAACTAGTGAATGCGTAAATGCCAGTCAACTAATATCTTGTTTGGAATCATATTAAAATATTTGATTGCAGGTTTCATGGACATCTGCACATATAGTGTGTTCGTGGATTTCTAAATATTGGCATCAACGTAATGAACACTGAACACTCCGACTACACGTACCATACGCAGCCTAGTCTCTGAACGGGGGACGAGATTTTCACAGAAAATTAAGTCTCAGATCCCACGTGCATATGAGTGTCATAAACGTCACATTCAGAGGGAGTCATCGCAACCAGACTCTCAGTCCATGAACAACTCACCCCACACAACTCGCATACATACAGTATCGACCGCGAGGGCCAAGATATCCTGCCAGTTGGCAGCTTTTTATGCCACGGTGTTTTGAGCGCCTCGATAATCTCAAGGCCCGCCAGATTTATTATAGTGAGGAAAACGCTGAAGTGTAATGTGGATGCGTTTCCCAGAGTCAAAACCATTCACTTTCCCCTCATTCATGCGCCATGCACAGGTTCAGTGTTTCTTATTTCGAATAGAGCATATAGCGCCTCCCAATTAACGGTCAAATCTCATTTACTGGAACATCCTTAGTAGTGGACCGTGGGTAATAAAGGATGGGCACAACTAGGGAATGTGGGTCATTAGGCAAAGTAAAGCTGCCAAAGTCGAAATTTGCTGCCGCGTTCATGTTCGCTGAACTGTGGACGACAAAACTTGCCCTGTGAGAAATAGAAAAACCCCATTTTCTTTCACTCCTAGTCTCTCAATCACGAACTTTAAGGTTTTCAAAACATTACATTAAAGGACTGCATAACACTTATTTATTCAAATGCAACTAGTTCTCCCTTGTTAGTTGTCCGATTAATGGTTTCCACTAGAAGATTTTGTCGAAATAAATCCATGTATTTCCTGTAAATTCGTCTTGGTTAGATGAGAAAGTTCTCCCATGTTAATAAATATAAAATTAACAACAGCGTATTCGATCAGCATGATACAACTAAATATTTGGAAAAATCTGGTGGCATGATTGACCTATGAATATCTCGTATCTGTCTGTGATAACCACACAATACCCCAGACTAGACGTGCCGACGACTTTTGGTTTATCCGTACACTGACTCTATAGATAACATTTATTTTGGCAACTGAATAAATGTTGTAATACGGAAGTAAGTGTTTACCTAATTTCAGATTCACGTCATCTTCCTAGAATCTTTTTCATTTTTTAGATGTACTATTAAGCCCTAAATTCGGTAATCATAATGACGGCTGTTTTTATGCTTTGCTACTTTTTTGAGGCTGCTGGTTGCGCTCAACGCTCTCCACGCGTTTTTTATTTTAAAAAATATTCACATGCCTATATTAATAATACAGATGCGACCAAATAACCGACATAATAATAAATAATAGATGCTCCCTGAGTTTTCGGATTGAGTTGCACTTTGGCTATTAGAGAGTACTCATCTTTTTGTGAAGTCCTTGCTGATATATCTGTAAATTAAAATCATACTGAAGGTTCCAGGCAGCCCAGAGAGGCAGATGCATGGACTTGTATGCGAACGTTGCATTTTGACAATCAGAAGTGAACGGGCAACTGACGATATGGAAGCAATTACAAATTGATTGTAGGGGATTATCATCTGCCAAATTTCGCTTTTGCATCTCTTAATTACTGAAGTGTTTCGTCAGTTCCTTTTATTTAAAAAGGACATTAATTCAGAGGCTATGTCGAGCGCTCGAGACTTTGTATCTGTCAAATTTAAAAAAACCGGAAACAAATCAAAATGAACATATTGAAGTCCATGTGTAGGAAATCTATACTTATCCCCACAGAATGACATTTCAAGGCAAACTCATCAAGTTTGACTTATATACTCCAGGTTCATTTTGTGCTTTGAGGTTTTTTTGCATAGCACTTGCTGTTTTAAGGTCTTCTTAGAAATTTCTTAGGGAAGGCACTTTACTGTTTTAACTTCCTCACATTTTAAAGATGCTAGCGCAGAGTTCGACCAAGTGCGTCTCTTTCTATCAAATACAAATAACGAAATACACTGACCTTCAAATACGAATGTATTTTTCACTATTCGCACAGTTGGAGCAAGAAGATTGTTATAGAATCCCTGAGCCATTCTTCGTAAAATTATATTTATTGCTGAAAATCTGAACGAATATGTTGATTATCAGATTCGCAAATTTACAAAAGGCATTTAACTAGTCTTCTCGTACGGCAGAAGCATTTGCAGAATGGTAGTTCCCGTACATGGACACCTAATAAACAGATCATCACATGCTTGATAGGACATATAAAAACAAAGAAAGATGCAGTGATATGGATGTTCTTTTAGACGGCTCTCTGATGTTCAGTTTCTCCTGCAAGCAGTATGGATTGTGTGAGATTTAGCTACGAAGAGAAGACGACAGCATAAATCTATAGCCCTTGGATATTCCCCATTTCCATTGTCGGGTAAATGGTAGGTATAGATGCACCATCGACTCATTTGATCATCTCCCACCCATAAATTTTATTCTTAAAACATCATCTTTCGAAATATAGTTTTGCATATGTACTCATATGTTCTGTAGTTTAAAACGGTTTGACGCAATTTGAAGTACATTTTAACCCTGGACTTTACCCGTCCCATGCAAATATTCACTGTGCATGCTCAAATAATTTTTTATATAATTTGACTTACCAGGTGTTCGACAGCTGCCACTAGTTGTGCAAATATAATTTTGCCTTCTGTCTCGCTAAAAGGGCCTCTTTTCTGAAGTCTTGTCTCTAAATCGCCTCCAGCAGCGTATTCCATAACCATATTTAACCTCGAAACCGATTCGATTACCTATCGAAAAATATGGCAGTTGATGTAAAAGCACAGACGTAGTTGTTGGTTTAACTTATAGCTAACGAGTATCAGATCACATTAAAAATTTGCACATATCAAATCAAATAGTTGGTCAACTCATACTAACTTATAAGAAAAGTTGTTGATGTAAAGCCTGTTAAATAAGCAAGACAAAAAACGTAGGAAACCCAAAATTCCTAAATTACAGCATGGTATGTGGTGTCTTACAAAACTCCGTTCAAAGTAAAGCAAATGCTTTAAAGGCTCATTTTGGAACCAGCTATTTAACGGTAGAGTTAAGGATTCTTGGCTCAGCTTCTGTACACAATGTTGCTAGAACACTTGCAGGATATTATTGGATCCATTAAATTCTCAAAACATTTGCAAGGACCTCTATTAAAATGTGCGAATGATAAAATTTATAGTACAATATTCAGATGCGTTTTAACACAGCATTGGAAAGATAATTTACGATTACATTCAGAACTTTTATAAGAAGACCACTTGAATCAGACAGCATTGTCCAGAAAATTGCTCAAAGGAGACAATAGACGTTGCTAAATAAAATACCGTTAACTTTGGGAGAGGCAAATCTACTGATGACTGGAAACTAACCTCGTAGAGCCTGATTATATTTGGATGGTGAAGTTTGTCAAGAACCATCATTTCCCGAGAGATAAGGCGTCTCGTCGCTGCATCTACTTTGGTTTTGTCAATAATTTTTATGGCAACATTTTCTAAAAATAACGACATAGTTTGATTCACATTGTACAGTTTTCATTAAGAAAATTTTTATCAAAAAACAAAGTGCCTCCAGTTCAGTTGACGTTAATCTGCAAGGTTCCCGAATAAAAGGCCTGCTTAATTAATAAAAAATTAGCTGACCTCTGATTCTCCTAACTAAACTTTGCACAGCTACTTATTTGCTAGCGTAAGTTCCCAGTTTCAGGTTAGGGGTATTCGGCAAGAATAGTTAAACAGCCTAACATTAAGAGCGCTTTCGCCGATAACTACGGAATCTTTAATTGTAATCATGCGAGAAAGTTCGCTAATTATCAAATATATGCAGTTTGCAATTATCTGTCGCTTGTTTCACCTCTTTGATTTACTAAGATAATGCCTCGTCCTCGCAAAGCAGCCAAACAAGTATAACGAAAATACTAGGACAGCGTAAGGCGTTAATGCGCGTATGCACTACTAAGGATCACCAAGTGGCTTCTTTCTTTCCATATAGCTAAGTAACGATTTAGACTTTTTTATGAGTTTCGATAACAAAACAATATGCAATTCTTTATAATTGCCTTTTGTTACGACGAACTCGATGGATACTTAACACACAAGGTTAGGAAACTCCATGTTGTACTGCTTAAGTCTGGGGACTTTTGGAGGGTAACAACTTATGGAATCAGTCCTAATGCAATTTATTCAGATACAAAAACTGAAATATTCATTCGCTCTTGAACTACGTGCCGCAGATTTATTTAGCTTTGCATGCAGACATTGCCTTCTATCTGTTCGAAAAGGAAGGTCATTAATATGCGCTGTTTTTGAATGTACCCATGAAACGAACAGTTGATTCATGTCTGCGACATTTTACTTTAAAAAACTTCCGCCTCTTTGGTAAATATTTCACATGCATGTGAAATTTTAGTAAATAAACCATAGTAGACTTTAAAGTTGGTCTTAATAGATATGAGTGATTTTAGGTGACCTTTCATTTTCAGAATATTAACTCGATTGGCAAAGGTTTAAACTTTCCTCAGACGGTAGTTCAGATGGTAGGAAGGTTTGCTTTGCTGGGTTTTGGTCTCTTTACAGGATCAAACTTTATCAAGGCTTCTTAAACGTTTACAATTAAAAATAGCAAAGGTCATGCAAACTCGTCCATAATTTAAAGAAAAAGGTCTAATACTCATCCTATGTACTGTAGATTGCTTCAATAAGAAACCATTCCTTAGCAAGATGACTGCCTAAAAATGATCGACTTCATGCGGCACAAAAGAATGGGCAGGAGACCACAAGATATCCAGACCAAAGTGTTGACTCAACGATACAATTTTTGAGAAGCTCCAGACAAACGAGGTCATAGTAGGTAATGATTTCGAGCAACAATTTGCTCTTCCTTACCATGATCTCATAGTCGGCAGCATCAACACATAGAATCATCCCAAATAACTCCCAAATCTTCCACCTCTTGAAGTTTTGTCTCTAGTTCTACTCCACGTTCGACAAAACACTTGACTAGTAAATAAAGTTACGCCAATGTATTCACTGATTTCACCGGTCCGTCAATGCCAAACATCTAAATTCTGTACTCGATATGTGAATAAGGCATCCTTCACATCGAACAGGATCAGCTGTGAGCATTCGAAGAACACTCAAACGCCGTCCTTCTTAAAACATGCAGTTTCCGAGTGCGGGAGAGGAAAACAAGTATTTGCTCCCCCTTGCTGTCCGTGTCAGCTGCGGTGATTGCCGTGACCTAAAAACCAGGGTTTTGGAAAACTACGGATGCGACGTAAATACGAGGTTTCGCTGGCAACCACCCAATCAGTCACAAACGTGATGGATAAGGGTAATATATCAGTCTGCTAGGAGACATTGCAGTGGGTCGGAAGAAGAGCTTTCCGACGGGTGCTCAGAGTGAATCTTTGCATACGCATATGCAAATGGCACTAGCGACCTGACGGCGCCAGCCCAAAATAGTGGCGAGCACTGTCGCAAGTAGCAAAAACATCTCGGAGACCGTCGGTTGACTGTTCACGCCCCTTGGAGTTGGAATTGTACATAGACCAGAAGCTACCACCAGACGCCGAGAAATGAAGTCAAAAGACTCACTGCCATGAAAGGAAACGCCTGGAGATCTTTACCGAATCTGGTTTGCCTATGGATAAAGCAAACACGTTCGTGAAAATTGGAGATAACTCCGGATGCGAATGGCCAAACATGCGGCTACAGCAATGGAAAATCATGCCAGCTGTCAGGTGGCGGCTACTTTCTTAAGACCCGGCCACATCTTCAGGTTGAACGAGGTCCAACGTTTTGCGAGAGGTGACAACCGCGTGAGGCACGAGCCGCGACAAGTTCGTTGTACTTGACGGGGTGAAGTTATCAAGCTTTCGGTAACTGCATAACTACGTCCTTGAAATTCAATTCGCATGAGAAAAAGATAAGGTCGGATAGTTGGCTTTCCCTGATGTCCTCGTCATGCGCATATCTACTGTGAAAGTAAGCTCCATAGTGTAACGGAAGGCGACTAACACAACCCAAGTTCTCGGATTTCATAGCAATAATTCGAGGCGGCGCAAACGTGGCTGAATAAGGTGCCCACACAAAAGGTAAAAACGCACCACAGAGAACCGGAAACACGAATGTAATATAAACGGAAACTTCGATAAATTAAGAAAGGAATGCTACCTCCACACGCTCCTTTAAATGAAAAGGAGGGAGAGGCCCACAATTTGAAAATGTATCAAAAGCAGCAAAACGCATTGTCGAAGGGCCTGGTGTGGACATCGTCTCGCAGCTACTATGAGGGTCAGGGAGATAAAAAAAACCTACTGGACAAAAAGGAACGACTGAATATATTCCATAATGTCATTTTTGCGAATTTTCCTACAGTTATACAGGCCGGAGAGCACTCCGACTAACCTCATAAATACTGGAGCACAACCGCGTGAGCCGCGAGCTGTTTGGTCTATGTTTCTCTGATCCCAGCCGATAAATAAACGTAATGTTCTCCCGTCCACGTATCCCATCCTAGAACTTCCTGAGCACAGTAATTAGCCATGCGGGGAAGGCTCGGACGGCCGGCAATTCCAGCGACAGCGAACCAAGTTGCCAAGTCATTATTACGCCAAAAATTCGCAACGGCGATCACATTTCGATAATTAACGACTCGGGTGCGAATGAAAAAACAGTCATCACATCATTTACCATCCCTAACAATGAATGTGTGAGCTATCAATTATACTAGGGATGGGACTGCTCAAAACTGCGGTCTGTAAATGCTGCACCCCTGTGCCTCCATCATCCTTATCTACGACTGTCTCTGATGATGGGGTCGAGTCAGAATCCGAGAACGCAGACCAATAAACCTCATATTCCAGCGATTGCATATTCTTCTTCTGAAGGCAAGAACTCTTAAACAAGAGTTTTAGCTAGGCGTCAGGTGGACTGCTACAATGCTATTCTGAGTGCATCAGTGGCATTAGTATCGAGCAGCCCTACATTTACGGAACATCAATTTTGAATTACCTTTATGAGACATCTGTATCTGCGTCCAGCCAGCCAATTATCCTGGGTGTCTTTAAATTTGTAAACAAACCAACCAAACTGCTAGTTTTTTTGAGAAACTCCGTTTTTTACCTAATATATAACATACAGTTGCTGGTTGATGTCTTGCAACCGAGTCTTTTACTCAGATGTTTAATTTGTCCCATAATCAATCACATTCCGTATAATGATACCGGATTAAGGTTGCAAAAAGAAACAATACGAGGATATAGTTTACATATTATGAATAAAATGACAAAGTTCGGCAGGTCTGGTATGTATATAGATAAAGGGGATAACAAAAATAGAGAAAACCATCGGACAACAGTCTTTTTAACTACTTTAAATGAAGCAGAAACAGCAAAGTAAATCAATTGTTTGGAGAATCACCAAACGACTGTATGAAGGATAAAAAATAAAGGAGCTCGAATTTGCCTTTGAATGAAGAAATTAGAATAAACCTTCTTTAAAAGACAAAGCCTACAGTGCAATTGAAACTACTTGCTTTATCACTTCTGAATTTATCATGAGGCCAAAGTGTAATGTCGGTGAAAGTTAACGCAAACTGCATTACGCATTCATCTGTTAACTAAAATCGTAGTAACATGTCCACATTTAGGGCAGAAAATTTATGTATATTTTTGATCTACAATTTTTTTCCGATAAACTGTTGCTCAACTGGGGACATTGTAAGTTCGTGCCGGCCATTAAGTTTCTCTAGAAAACATCAGCCAAATACAGGAATTTCGATTGACCTACTGATTTTGTCGCAGCACTAAGGGTTTCATGTTTACGAAACCCATTATAAAAGTTTCAGCCCGGTGAAATGCGTTTGATAAGTGATTTTTCATTGATAAAATCGTTCGGACCTTTCAAAGTCTTCGTGTTTGGTCCTTCACAAACGCTAAAATTGAATAACTTTCATCAAGAACAAAATAAATAACAAACACTTTCGTGTTAATTAGGCACTTACAGCAGACATGACCATCCACAGCATATGCATTCCAACAAACAGATGTCTAATATGATCAACTTGATAAAAGACGCTAGTGGATGCCGTAAAATGCTGTGGTTTTCCTGTCACGTATGTGCGGCGGCCCACCTGGTGGCAGCTCCTGCCGCTTCAGCCACTTGCACGCTCTCCCCACCTTCGGTCTTCTTGACACCGTGAAAGTCTGTGAGTGCAGGAGGGGGGGGGTGCGGCTGATGCTTTGCAAGTCTATCATCACTACAAACTAATTCGCACATAACTCATCGTCCCTGCCCTCACCCTGCTGTGGAACACACAGTGGACATCGCCATGGGCTACGGTCTAACTGTCGTATGCTTTTTTGCCATGAATAACGGAAAATCTTGTGTCGGACAGGTTTCGGCCTTCACTTAGTAAATTT